CCCCAAAACCCCAAAACCCCAAAACCCCAAGAGAGTAAAATGTATTGAATTGGACTTACAATTCTAATGTTAATTAAATTACATATTCTTTATTCATAATTGATTGATGAGCTCCATATTCTCCTCAATGAAGTCGACAAATACTTTGTAAAGGTCTCCATTAATATAGTCATTATCAACAACATTAACTAGGAAGAAGTTGTTTTAGCATTTTTGCAAGAAATTGAATTAGTATGAATCAAGGCCATAGATGATAGCCCAGTGATCAAGCCAAGACTAGAAGGCTTCCTTCTTCCAGATTAGGAACGCTTTGTGATCAACTACTGTTGGTTGAATAATTTCTTTTGCCTTAAACACTCCCCAGGTAACTGCGTTTACATCATCCTTACAAACGTTCTTGATTTCATCTCCTTAGTTATTTATAGCTTGGTAGGTTATCATTTCATATTTATCCAAGTGGTTGATCAAGGGCTGGATCATCTCACTAGGGATGAAAAATTCAATATAGGCTTTTTGATAAACATAGCCGTTTTTTGGTCCCCATCCAAATTTTGGATCCGTTGAGGGTACTCCGTTTACTTTTGGTTGCGAATTAATAGTGAATACATAGTTTTTGTTAATCTGTACAAGTTAATCAAGAATGACGTTGGTTTCCAGTTAGAGAGACCCCTCAGAGAATGGATATTTCTTGACTTCTCCCTTGAGATATCTCACGAATAAGTCGCCAATTTCAGCATAACTTGACACATTTTCTCCGTAGATTTTCTTCAATTCATCAAAGTTAAAACTTATTTTCTTTGCAATAGATCCATACATCTCAGGCTCTCCAAAGGCTGGGGATCTTGAGACTCCCCATCTTCCATTAGGGAACTCATCCCATTCCTATGTCCTAGAAATGTAGCTCTTTGGCTTGATAGCCCAGAAAATTGGTCTCACCTCCTCACTCTATCTACAAGAGGGCTTTTTGAACGGTAGTGATTTCTAGTTATCTAAAATCTTGAGACCTTCGATGATCTTTATCACAGCTGCTTCTAAGTTCATGGTATAAAAATGGAGGAATCTAATGCCATTATCAATGAGTTCTTAACACTGTTAAACCCCAAAGGCTACTCCATACTTTCTGACGTCTGCGTCATCATTTTTAATGATCTAAAGGTTGTCGAGAATCTCCTAGGGCACCTTGGTCTTGCAGAAGTTTATAGTTCTATTTAATACATATTATTAATGTATAAATGATGATGTAATTCTACCTGGAAAATCTATCGTAACCCAGGATTGGAAGAATTCCTGGTATTATTTAGCATTCGATGCCTGCTTATCTGCAGTCTCTAACCCATTCAAGGAAGATTTGATTATCATAGAAGAGCTAGGTTATGATGAAGTCAGCGCCTGCATCTACTTTTTCTTTCAAGCTTTGGATATCATGATCTCTAGATTGTGCAGTGAGATGAACTTCAGGATAGCCAGCCACTCCAATGCAGAAATAGTCGCCATAAGTCTCCTTGATGAACTTTACAAGGTCAATAGCATAGTTGAATCCATTTTCAATTGGAATCCAGTCATTGGATCCTCTAGGTGGATCTCCTCGAAGTGCTAGAAGATTCCTTATTCCTAGTTCTTTGGCCTATGTATATAAGTAAGAATCTAGTTTTGTGCATGCAGAATGAACCTTAATCAGGTCTACTTACTCTGTCAAGACTAGTCACGATTTTCTCCCTCGTCATATAGGTGCAAGTAATGTGCATAAGGACATCTAGACCTGAAAAATTCTGGATATGAGCACACAAATCAATTGTGATATCAGATGTCGAACCACCGGCGTTCCTGAAATGTTGATTAATAAGCGAGATGATTCTTACCACGTGACGTCAACCCAAAGTGGGTTTGTACTGCCCATTCTCTCAATTCTATCAAGTAGATTCTCAATACCTTGTTTGAAAATTATAAAAGATCACTATTTTACCTTGTTCTGTGCGAGGAGGGAAGTATTCGAATGAATAGAAAGTTTTTTTATTAGTTGGATCTTCACTAAGTGCTTAGTTAATTTTATCGTTTATTTTCATTTAATGTGAACTTTTAATATATGGATTATATTCATATTCTTAGATCAAGTATTAATTTAATTGTCAGGAACACTCTCAAAAATAAATGATTATGCAATTACCTAATTGATTGCATCATGGGGTTTTGGGGTTTTGGGGTTTTGGGGTTTTGGGG